CCCCCCCCCCCCCGCATTCACCATTTGGCTCCCACGCCTCTGTTACCGTTTGAATCTGCCTCTATTTTAAGTTGTCTGTGTGGTCAGTTGTCTGTGTGGTCAATTATCAATGAGTTCACCAGTCTGTGTGGTCAGTTGTCAATGAGTCCACCTGTCTGTGTGGTATGTTATAAATTAGTTCATTTGACTGTGCTGTCAGCTGTCTGCGTGTTCAGTTTTCAGTGAGTTCACCTGTTTGTGTGGTCAGTTTCTGCATTGTCGCTTGACTGTGTGATCACGTCTCGTGGTTTCAGTCGAATTGGTACTTTATCACTTTATGCTTATGTAGATGGTCGTGGGGGGGTGGGGTTGGTCATTTCAAGTCTAAATACACAAGGCGAAGAAATGTTACGTCACTACAGTAAGCCAGTATCCCGTTTGTCTGGAGGATTCGGTCGTGTTCCCTGACTGTACCGCCTGCGATACAGTGTACGGCGTACGCAGATGTCAGGAAATTGACCTGGTGATGCTACACGGTCAGGCCACGTTTAAATGGGTCAGCCAGAGGGTAGCGGCGGTTGAATAGAGAGGTGGGGGTGAAATAGAGAGGGGGGTGGGCTCGTACAATGAAACGGATGGGGCATAAAAGAATTGAGGCATAATTATGATTTTTTTTTTAAAAATGATATGACAAGATTCAAATATCCAGTTTCATTTAACCCCATGGCACCACACACCACACAATGTACACACAACCCTATTTACCCCTCACACACAGTGTACTCCTCTCACTCAGCCTTTACTTTGGCTTTGGACAGCATTGGACCACGGCCATTGTGACTATGTATTACCGACAATAAACGTGTTAAAAAAAACACAAAAGACCTTAATAACCACGAGAGCCTCTCTACTGTATGTGCTAGATCTAGGACTCTTGACGGGTTAACAGCTTTCTCTCTCACACGAGAATCGGCGAGCTGATAACCATGAAAACTAATGTGAGTGATGCACCCACCCCTGTCTTTTTGTTTTTCCCTTCTATCTTTTAACCCCATCAACAACACACCGCCCCCAAAAATGTTAACTCGGCGAATTTTGGGGGGTGGAGAAGAGATTCGTTATACATCGAGACATATTCCGTAGTAACTTAACAACTGTAATAGGGTCCTATGAACAACACACAAGGTAGAATATTTACTTACATCTGATCTCGTGAATCTGAACTGGTTTAAAACCTCGCTGCTGTATCTGAGCACAGCTGTGGTAGAAGGAAGGAGTTTGACCGGTTAGGGAGAGACAACTCGCGCCGTTTTATAGCAGACGCAAGGGGGTGGAGTGGAGGGGTGGAGTGGAGAGGGTGTGGAGGGGGGGGAGGAGGATTAGGTTTCTAAAAATCTCTGTTATTGTAAAATACCGTTTTAAAGAACTCCACTTTTACAGCCGACACCTTGCTGTGTGAAGGCGGATCTACGAACAAAGTAAGGCCGAGAGTCAAAGGTATTTATTAGAGCACAGCAATTAAGGAGTCAGGGAGTCAGTGGTTTTTATTTTAGTACAATAATCAGGGAGTCAGTGGTTTTTATTTTAGTACAATCATCAGGGAGTCAGTGGTTTTTATTTTAGTACAATCATCAGGGAGTCAGTGGTATTTGTAATAGTAACAATCAGGGGTCAGTTAGTTATATTTTTCACACTGTAACATAGTCATAGTTGTTATTAATAGCAGTAAATTAAAATGAAATTCATTAGAATATTACAGTTCAAATAACGGAAAGTATTGTCTCCTTTGGCTGGTTTTAGAACCGGCCCCATCTGCTCTCAGCTTGATAGCTCTTACCGGGGGTGCCCTACAATATCGTTACGCCTCTGCATGGACGTTGTGTTGGGTCAGTAGGTGCTAAAAGTGACATGACTAACTCGGTGCATAATAGCTTCAGGTGCCACGTGTTCCCAGTAGCGGAAGGGAATAAGTGCTGGGCACGTGTTGTTTCCAAGAGTTATCTCCACGGAGGACATGGTACCGGTATACTTATCTAACCATTGGTGTCACGCCTACGTACGTGGGCATGAAAGGGGGCCAAGTTTGAACAAGGTTGCGGAACGATTCCGGGCAGTGATTAAAAAAAAAAAATAACCAAATATCCCTGTCTATTGGTGTGAAATTCCGCTGTAGTGGAAAGGTACTACTTAAAACGAAAGCGGAAGTCTGGTTTCCTGTCTGTATGGCCAACCCATTTCCAATTTTTACTCGTTGCCTCGTTGATTCCTGCTCCATATTTTTATAACCACTTCCTAATCATGTCCACTTGAACACTTTCTGAACATTCCCACATAATCACTACCTGATCATTATCGATTGGATGACGTCCTGATAATTCCCTTTGTCTAACTTACTGATCATTACCAATTGGATAACTTCCTGCTCCTAGGATTTGACCAACAAAAGAGTAAGATATGCTCGGAAAGGTAGGATGTGCCCCGCATATGGTAAGATGTGCCCCCCAGATGATAAGATGTGCCCGGGGAAAGTGTAGCGACTGTTACTAGGCTATGCGTTCTTCCTTTTCACTATAGAAGAGATTTGAGAAAGACCAGAGGCTTATTTTAAGCCAAGGTGGTGTTCGGCAACAGAAAGTTTTGTGCTAACGAAATTTTGAGGATTTAAACAAAACAAAAAACCCATCCAGTTGTTCGAAAATGTCAACCTGCCCTGATTAGATCTATTTAAAGATATTTAGATACCAGCAGTGCACATTCATTTTCTGCTCTTTTGGACAGTATGTCACACGGCAATAATGTACGATGTCATATTTCAATAATTCATTGTGTCATATGGCATTGTCTAATGTCTTGTGACAAAACTGTCTGACCCATTTTACATGTCTTTTCATGTGATCAGAAATTGGTAAATTTATTGGGCACATCCTACACCTGAGACAGAGAGCATAGCTAAGCCAGCTTAAAACTGGAACCTTAAAGGCCTATTAATAGGGGGGGGGGGTTGATGTTTGTGACTTGGGAAAGACAATTGAAAAAATTGACACTAGCTTAAAGAGGGTGCCACAGTAGAAATCTGTTACATGCATTGCCCAATGCGCACAGGGGTGCCCTTGAATTTAAAAACTGACAGCTGAAGGACGATATTTTTGCATATATCATGTATGAATGTAAGCAATATTTGGGGAAATTACATTAAATTTCTAAAAGAATACAATCAACAATTTATAAAATTTTTATAAATAATCTATTTAATAACAACCAGAACAGTTAATTGTTACATTTAGAAATGATTTATGAATTCACCACATACAAAAATGTCTCTGGAATTTACCAGGGCGAATCCTTCCTTGTGGCCAGGTATTTGCCAATCTTCTCATTTGACTTGACCAGTTCGATGGTTTTCTTGACCAAAGGGTAGTCATCGTTGACGTCCAGCAGGTTAGACGCCATCCCCCCAGTAGTGGCGTCCAGAAGCACGATGTCAGCCAAACTCAGCTTGTCCCCAACCAGGTAGCCGGTGCCGTTCTTCTCCAGAATGACCTCCAGGAAGCCGAGGGTGCGTGGCCCCACTACCTCCTTGACCTTCTTCAGCGCAGCCTCTTTGGCCGCCGGGTCGTCCGTGTGGAACAGAGCATCGGCCGAAGCGTTGACGAAGTCGTTGACGAGGTTGACGATCTCGTCGATCTTGAAGATCTCCAGGCTCGAGCCGCCGAGGAAGCCGAACTCGCGTGCCAGGAACGAGAAGATGGCGTTGCTCTGGGCGTACACCACGTCGTCGACCTGCAGCGCCGGCACCTGCCCGTACGGGGTCAGGGGCTTGTACTTGGGCCACTCCTCTTCCGAAAAGCGCAAGTCTTCGTACTCTTTGCCGGCGGCCGCCAGGATGAGCCGGGCCACCTCAGCTCGGCCGCGGCCGTCAAAGTAGTAGAGCTTCAGTGCAGAGTCGGCCATTTTCTCGATGTCTGTAGGATTAGGTAAAAACAAACAAAAAAGTTGCCATTAAGAAAAACAACAGCCATAATGTTGCTGACATTTAGACATGCTCTTGAGGAACACAAAAATATATATTTCTTAACCATTGACATTTTTTTGTGTCAAAATGAAGAGTGTCATTGTTAATGTGATCAAAGTTAAACTCGTTTGAAATTCTGGTTCTCAACAGTGGAAAACTGGTTGTTGTTTTTTTTTTGTTTGTTTTTTTTTGCTTTTTTTAAAGATGTTGCCTCTACGCTCACTGTGCCTAATAATGCCCACATATTAAAATTCCTTATCTCAGCGTTGACCAATTGTCAAAGCTAGCAGCTGTGTATGGGTCGGTACATTCCCACAGTGGGTATCAATACATGTTTCACGCCATAACAGTTGATGTGTCCGACGTAGACACACTGTTCAGTAAATTAGGTGTGACTCATGCACACACCTTTCAATACGGAACGGTTGGTGTGTCAGAAGTAGACACAGCTTTCAATACCGTCAGTGTGTGTCTGAAATTGACATAGAGCCTGAGACATTTGTTAACATACAGACGAAACCATTGTGATAATGAACCACACAGAGAACGATGCTCAATTTTTTTCTATTACGTCACACCCTCTCAAACACGTGTGCTCCAGGCATCTATTGATTGTACATCAACTTCAAGTGGATGAACGGATCAATAACAACTTTGTATAACCAATGGTATATGTGTTGGGAAGGAATGTCTTCTTTTAACGGACTTACAATACATTTGATAGAAGAAACCATAAACACACACAAAAGCCATCTTCTTGCTGCTATCTTCAACCCGCCACACATTTCTGACGTAAATTTCTTGACCTTAATGTTGGAAAGTTAAAGAATGTCTCACGACTCACGAAGACTTGGGTAATATAGTCGGGCATCGCGTTCAATTTGAAAGTTTCATATATCATAACACACACGCCTACGCCCGGGGGGGGGGATAGGGGGGCAAGCAGAGGTACCAGTGAGAGCATGTAAAACACGAACATGTCATGTGTGGCAGTCTGTCCACGTGCATATCACTATACCACGACTCGTGGCATTCAGTCAGACATGCCGCCACAATCTGACAAGGTCTAAATTGGGATACACAGTTGGTGCCGTGCAAAGAGTCCAAGTGAACACACCACTACGATACATTCGATTTGAAGCACTTACTTTTGTCTTGGTATAACAACTCCGCAGATCCTCTCGTCTGATGCCGGGAACAAAAGCGAGACGTCTGGCGACCGTAGCTAGATCAGACTCCCAGGCTGAGGTCACTCTCACCAGATTGCGAGACAACACAGGGATCCGTTTACCGGGAAAGCTGGTAAAAGGAAATGTTGTTTTATTGACAGGCACATCCAGGCTTCGGTAAACAGGTCACTTTTTCTTTGCTTTCTTTTCTTCCGTGTAAACACAGAGAGTTCCCCCCTGCCCTGTTGTAACACGCCCCTCCACGCTGTTATACGCCTTGCTGTTTATTCATGTCTTAACCCCCCCCCCGCTACAACGTGACCCCGCTATCAACATGACCCCGCTATCAACGTGACCCAGCTATCAACATGACCCCGCTATCAACGTGACCAAGCTATCAACGTCACCCAGCTATCAACATGACCCGCTATCAACGTGACCCAGCTATCAACATGACCCCGCTATCAACGTGACCCCGCTATCAACGTGACCCCGCTATCAACGTGACCCCGCTATCAACGTGACCCCGCTATCAATGTGACCCCGCTATCAACGTGACCCAGCTATCAACGTGATCCGATGTTATGGACCCCAATCATCTTGTTAAAGCGGGTTCCCACTGTAGTGGTTTTTTGGTGTCGACTCCCTAATTATAATTAGAATTGAAACCACAAGGCAATCCCAATACACATACAAATAAGCGACAGAAACAGAAAGTCAAGTAATGAAGTGGTCCGCAAATACCTCCCCAGAAAATAAGTGACGCCGAAATAAGAAACCCCCGGGGGTGGACCACCCCCGTCTTCCTAAACCCGTGACCCTTTCTTTGTACGTTTGGGGGAGTGTGTGGTGGGTTATTGAGAGAGATCAATTCTTTTGTTTACGCCCAAAATGGTAAGTCAAATACCTGTCCTGGTTTACTCTTCAGGAAAGCCTTGTCCACCCAACTTGCTTGGGTCATCTCTAACAAAACAACTAACAAAAATACGTATGGATTAAATATCTGGAGTTAGCGCAAACCAGTTCTTGTGATCATTAGTTTTTTGCTGGATTCGTACGAGATATATGGTAAGGGCTTATGGAAATTTTGAATAAATTATTTGACCAGCGGCTTCAATTTTTTTTATTTTTTTTAGTTAAATACTAAATTTCCTCTGACTTTTATAACTTCTGTATTCACTCACACCCCCCCTCCCCCTTTTTTTTCCCAAATCCCTGTGCCTGGCATTTTTTGTGATAGAGGAGTACTTGGCGAAGACGTATCCGATATACACAGAATTAAGGTTGCGTTATCCCCGAAAGATATGCCGCGATCTCATAGCTTGGGAACCGCTGAATAAAAGTACGCTAAGGGTTGCTTTATCAGGGACCGGTACTGAAGGATAATCGCTGTATTCGGATAAAGGGAATGTTACAGCTTGAAAGCAGTCCATGATGAAGTCTCCTAAATTGTTGGGTTGTAATTCGTCAAAACAATTTGTTATACCAAAGTATGTGCGCATACGGTCTTGTTATACTACAGCATGTGCACAAAATAGTGTGACCTTCACACAATACATCACGTGACCTTTTAGCAATGTGGAACATATCTGGCCATAGCACGGACCGGGATAATGGTGGAGCCTTTTTGTCTAAAGCATGGACCGGGATGATAGTGGAACCTTTTTGGCCCAAGCATGGACCGGGATAATAGCGCCCGAAAATGAGCAGGTCATTGTGATGTTGAAGTGGCGTAACTAGAAATGTTCGTTGGGCTCGGCGCAAAGAAAGGGGGCAGGGTCAATTACACTCATTATAAGATTATTTACGGACATCGTTGGTGCTAGTGAGTGGGTGGTGCTAGGGAGTGGGTGGTGCTAGTGCGTGGGTGGCGTTAGTGTGCGAGTGGTGCTAGTGCGTGGGTGGTGTTAGTGTGCGAGTGGTGCTAGTGCGTGGGTGGTGTTAGTGTGCGGGTGGTGTAGTGTGTGGTCGGTGTTAGTGTGCGGGTGGTGGTAGTGCGTGGTCGGTGTTAGTGTGTGAGTGGTGCTAGTGCGTGGGTGGCGTTAGTGTGTGAGTGGTGCTAGTGCGTGGGTGGTGTTAGTGTGTGAGTGGTGCTAGTGCGTGGGTGGTGTTAGTGTGTGAGTGGTGCTAGTGCGTGGGTGGTGTTAGTGTGTGAGTGGTGCTAGTGCGTGGGTGGTGTTAGTGTGTGAGTGGTGCTAGTGCGTGGGTGGTGTTAGTGTGCGGGTGGTGGTAGTGCGTGGGTGGTGTTATTGTGTGAGTGGTGTAGTGTGTGGTCGGTGTTAGTGTGCGGGTGGTGTAGTGTGTGGTCGGTGTTAGTGTGCGGGTGGTGGTAGTGCGTGGACGGTGTTAGTGTGCGGATGGTGTTAGTGTGTGGATGGTGTTGGTGTGTGGGGGGGGGGGCTGGCAACAAGAAATTCCCCGCCACAGACAGAACATGTAATCAACATCATTCATTAACCTATCATGACCTGTCACGCGGTATGTTTGTGCAAGCATTGCTCAAATACCAAGCCTTGGGCCAACTCCCAGAATGTGCTGCTGTCCAGGAATAGAATGTGCTATTGTTAATATTCGGGACTAGACTGTGCTACTGCTACTGGTCAGCGTTATAAAATATTGAAACCTTTCAATGCACCACCCTTATGAACCATCACCCTCATAATGCATCACCCTAATAACGCATAACACTTACAAGACATCACCCTTAAAACGAACCACCCTTACAATGCATCCCCCACACAACAGTTAGTATCTGATTATACCCATGCGCGTAACGTATTACGTTATTTTTTATCAACGCTGGTCCATCTGACCTTTGACCTGGCCATATCTGACCTTTGACCTGGCCATATCTGACACTTGACCTGGATTTTTCTTGTTATTATTTTTTTTTACATTTATTTATTTTTACCAGAGGCGCCATCTGACGGTGGAGGTTATTTTTAGGATCCAGAAAACAACCTCCCTGTCGCCCCCCACTGAGCCAACCCTACCTCCCCCAGGCCCCTCCTCCCACTTCCCCCAGGCCCCTCCTCCCACTTCCCCTAGCCCCCCTGAGGTGGAGTCTTACACTAGAAGAGGAAGTTTTACACTAGGAGATAGAGTCTTACACTAGAAGATGGAGTCTTACACTAGGAGGTGGAGTCTTACACTAGGAGGTGGAGTCTTACACTAGGAGGTGGAGTCTTACACTAGGAGGTGGAGTCTTACACTAGGAGGTGGAGTCTTACACTGGGGGATTTTAGGTGCGGTAATTTAGTCCCGATAACTTATTTGACGCGCAAAAAAGCTGAGAAATGGAATGATCTATATTACCGTATAGCAATAAACTAGGCCATGTCAAGTCTCTGAAGTCATGTGTATGTCATATCCCTGAGGTCATGTGTATGTCATATCCCTGAGGTCATGTGTATGTCATATCCCTGAGGTCATGTGTATGTCATATCCCTGAGGTCATGTGTATGTCATATCCCAGAGGTCATGTTTATCAGCGAAATTCACCTCATACATGATTTCACATGGCTGCTATTTTCATATTCGACACATGGGTCTTGTGTACATATTCAACACATGGGTCTTGTGTACATATTCAACACATCGGTCTTGTCTACATATTCAGCACATGGGTCTTGTGTACATATTCAACACATAGGTTTGGTGTACATATTCACACATGGGTCTTGTGTACATAATCAACACATGGGTCTTGTGTACATATTCGACACATCGGTCTTGTCTTCATATATTAGAAACCCTACCTATGAGATCCTGAACATCGGTAAATGAAATGAATGAGACACAAGCAGACCCTGAGGTGGAGTCTTACACTAGGAGAGGAAGTTTTACACTAGGAGATGGAGTCTTACACTAGAAGATGGAGTCTTACACTAGGAGGTGGAGTCTTACACTAGGAGGTGGAGTCTTACACTAGGGGATTTTAGGTGCGGTAATTTAGTCCCGTTAACTTATTTGACGCGCAAAAAAGCTGAGGAATGGAATGATCTATATTACCGTATAGCAATAAACTAGGCCATGTCAAGTCTCTGAGGTCATGTGTATGTCATATCCCTGAGGTCATGTGTATGTCATATCCCTGAGGTCATCGGTATGTCATATCCCTGAGGTCATGTGTATGTCATATCCCTGAGGTCATGTTTATCAGCGAAATTCACCTCATACACGATTTCACATGGCTGCTATTTTCATATTCGACACATGGGTCTTGTGTACATATTCAACACATGGGTCTTGTGTACATATTCAACACATCGGTCTTGTCTACATATTCAGCACATGAGTCTTGTGTACATATTCAACACATGGGTTTGGTGTACATATTCACACATGAGTGTTGTGTACATAATCAACACATGGGTCTTGTGTACATATTCGACACATCGGTCTTGTCTTCATATATTAGAAACCCTACCTATGAGATCCTGAACATCGGTAAATGAAATGAATGAGACACAAGCAGAAATTTAAGAAAGGATATGGACCGGAAACAGGGCATATACTTAAGCCGTTACAAAATACTCGAAAGTAAAAGCAATACAAGCAAAACAAAGAAAACGATACCATGTATGTGGTTTTGTTTTTATTCTTGTTTCAAATAAAACTGTAACCAGAGCAGAGCAGTAGTAGTAACTTACCCCAATCTAGGTGGACCCTAAGAAAAACAGCTGAAAACCCTATTATACAAATGGGAGAGAAAAGTTCTCCAGGAAATCTATGGACCAACAATGGAGGATTGTGGATGGAGAACACAAACCTACCAGGAATTGTGTGGATTATATCACAATCCCTCGCTAGTAGCAGAAACATATTAAAAAAAAGACCAGGCTGCGCTTGACGGTACCCTTAGGAGTAAAGACTAAAGAGGGTGCACCACCAAAACCCCAGAGGAAAACGGCTCAGAGGCAGAACTAGGCTTTGATAAGTAAACGGTGTGGAAAAGGATCTGCAG